GGGGTTCCGATCCTTTCCAACGCGAGCGCAGTGGCACCGGCGCTATGTATTGAGAGTCACCTGGAGGGAGAGGGGAGAATGCGAGAGAGGGAGAGGGTGCGAGGGTGCGAGAAGGAGGTGATGTGGTTGTCATTTAGAGAATGGGAGACGCACACGGAAAGACAATAAGAGCTCTGCTCGCTGTTGAATGGTTGTGTGTTTTTGAAACCTTTGTTTTTTCCCCCTTTCCCCTGCTACAGGGGGGATTTTTTCTTTTTTTTTCGCATCGAGGAGAGGGTTTGAAAAAGTGGAAAACGGACAGAGAAGACAGCAGACGGTGAGAAGAGCTGAGCGCTAAGTCGTCATTATCATCATCATCATCTTCGTCGTCATCATCATCATCATTATCATCATCATCATCATCATCATCATCATCGTGATGGTTATCGTCATCGTTGGTGGCTGATGGATAGATCTGTGGCCGCCAGAGGTTATGGTATCCTGAACACATGGAGAATATATGACATCTGTGTGTGTGTGTGTGTGTGTGTGTGTGTGTGCTGTCTCTTATACACATCTAGATGTGTATAAGAGACAGGTACGAGGGTGCGTACAAGCGACAACGTAGAGTCTTAGTACAAACTTATTTAGGTATCGGAACGGGCTCCAGGTACTGGTCCAGGGTTTAAAGTAGTGTGGTTGGCGTAGCTGTCACCCTAGTACTGGCTACAATCCTACAAGGGAACGGAGGATCCTCAACTCTCTATTCCATACTACAATTGGCCTAGTAACTAGGCTATCACTTGGGATATCAACTCATCTATCAACTAGGACATCAACTTACCTACCAACGAGAGGTATCTACTTCCCTATCGACTAGGCTATCAATTAGGTTATGTACTAGGGGACTAGGGGTAACTAGGCTATTAACTAGGCTCTCAACTACGATTTTAAACCGCCAGTACCTTTCCCAGCTATGGGCCACGGGCCTTGTGCACCAAGTTTCGGCGGCGCATCTGGCCACCGCCGGTTTGCACCGGAGGCCGACTGCGACCTCCGTGTTAACCGATGCGTTTCGGCAAGTTGCCTGGCAAAGGTACTAGTGGTTTAAGCATACTGTGCTAGATGGGAGCCATTGTGGAACCTCATAAAGACCTGTAGTAGCACGTTCATACCTAGCTCCCAAAGTCCCAGTGCAATCCGGCTTGCACGACGTTTGCTTCAACCGGGACTGAGCAGGGGGTAGGGGTCTCTACTTAGCCTAGGTTGTCTGGTCAGATCACCTCGCGAAGATGGTGATGGGTGATGTCCTCGGTGGTTAACACTAGGGTAGGACAGGGGGGGTGGGGTTGCGCCAAGGAAAGATTGAGAGGAAGGGTGGGTGGGGTCTTGAGAGGGGTGCATCTGGACAACTGAATGGCCAATTATTGTGGGTGACTATCATCTGTCTAGTATCCCAGCTCTACAACAACCTGGGCTTACAAGATTAAAAAAAAAAAAAAAAAAAGTAGTGGTGGTAGGTAGGTAGTGTACAGTGGAATTGAGAGACTAATCTAGCTTAATTTTTTTTTTTAAAAGGGAAAAAAAAAAAAAAAAAGTTGTTTTGTCAGAGAGGCATTCCTCTTTAGTCGCAATGTCACATGTGTTTAGGGGCATTTTGGCATATTTCTCAACGTGTATGGGGGCATTTTGGAAACGAATTCCAAAAAAAAACTGCTAAGGACTGAGGAAAAAGGGGAAATTGTTGAAATGCCCCTAAAAGTTGGGGCATTTCACTAGATACCCCTAAAGCACAGGGGTACGCCGAAATGCCCAAACTTCTGCATTTGCTCCTGTCGCCCTCATTGGCAACTTTGCCATATGCCCTGGCCCTGGGCTGCAGGGGCCTGTACGTTTCTTTTGCCATCTGCAGGGTCCAAAGGACCCAAATACCTGGGCATATAGACAAGTTGTCAAGGGCCCAGTAGGGGTATGTGCAAGAGATGACAGGTCCAATTGGCAAGCGGGGTATTTCACAAAGCTTCAGGACCGTCACCCTACCCATGCCTTTTAGGGTTACCTGATCAAATACCCCAACTTTCAGGGGCATTTCAAWAATTTTCCCAAGGGAAAAACAGAGAAAAACAATCTATGGGGAAAAAAAAAAAAAGGCCTACACGCTCGGGGGCCATAAAGGAGTCACTTCTGCCCTTCACCCCCCCCC